TCGCTCGGATCGTCTCACGCAAGTCAGTGGTTCCTAGCGCTTGAATACCGGTGTAGCTTGTAGACGAGAAGCTACGGTTATATTGCCGCGTGCGCATCTCGAGCGTCTTCTCTATTGTAGATGCTTCTGAAATTAATTCGGCGACCGTCTTTGGCGGGTTTCTGATCAGCCCGGCGAAGAGTTCCTGCTTTACTCCTCGCATGAGCAGACGGACCTTCTTATCCTCAGACATGTCGGGGTCAGCGTGGCGGAAAAGTTTAATCATATCTTCCGTGAATAGTGCCACGTTTTCGTTTGGCATCTGCATTCGGGTTTCGAGAAGAGCTGCGGCCTTCTCCTTGCGCACCACACTTGCGAAAGTAGTGAGGAACTTGGCGCGAAAGACGTCCCACGTCGTAAGGCTTCGCTCTTGATTCTCGAACCAGGTCCGAGCAGCATCTTCTAAGGCGAAATACACATGCCGGAGCTTGTCATCGTCTGTCCAGTCATTGAAGGCGGCGACACGGTCGAACCTTTCGATCCAGCTTTCCGGGTCTTCCAGTGGCGAACCGCGGAAAGTTGGTGGCTCTTTGGGTTGTCGGAGCAGGAGTGGTGCAGGCTGCACGGTGGCGGTCATGGTTGCAGTAGTTGATGTCGGGATCTGGGTCTGCCTGGCTGCTTCAGGAAGGGGCCCATACTCTGGTTGTAGTACCCAGCACATCCCCAGATGTCACGGGGTCATGACGTGACCGAAGACAGGAGACTTTGCGTTGGAATTTAACTGTTTATTTGGGCGAACCTGTGCCCGGTAAACAAAAAGTCCGATTACACTAGCAGTCTTGAACTGATAGCGGCGAACGGAGCGTCGGCCGTCGATCAACTACTGACAAGCGGCGAAGCGCATCGGCATTTATACTCTTGCCGTCGAATGTTCTAGCGTTATCGCTGGTGGTGGCGTAGGTTCCAGAATAATCTGTACCGTTTGCAGAGTGGGCGTGATCTTATCGAAATTATCTACTACAGTCAGGAAGCTTCTCGAAAACTGCAGGCGCGGTTTGCGCTGAGAATTGTGTAGTGTTTTGGGACGATAACCAAACTTGGGAAATGGAACGCGTGGCAATATGCACCTTTCTGTCAGTGCATTTGGATTTCTCGCAGATGGCTGGTCGCTATATCAGTGAGAAATGAAACCTTTTTCCTACTTAACTGGTACCATCCTGCTAATGAATAGCCACTACATTCAGTGTACTGATGCTCACAGGCTGCTGGTACCATGTCTGGGTGATTGTGCCTCATGATTGCTCTCACTAAAGTCTTATACCATCATCCTAACTAAAGGTCACCAAGAGTAGAAAAATAGCATGGGGCATTGCACAAACCCATTGCATATTTATAAGCATTGCTCATGCTAGTAATGAGTACCTTATTTATGTTGAACAACTAATTATTTTGTTAATTTAGCATTTGATAGCTTCACTAATATAAGGCATCGGCACAACAGTTATTGAACTTGTTGAAAATTTACAGGTTAGACGCAAGCTACCTATCTTGTGGTTATTTTTTCTGCTAAAGAAAGAGGTGTCATGAAATTTTAAATATCTTGGCACCAATAACAGCAGTGATCACAAATGTAATGATTTTCATTCCACACACAGTGCATTTTATAAATTCATTCTTGACTTCACATTTGATAAAAAAAAACAAAGATGCATGCAAATGATGCTGAGTTTCACAAAAGGGCATGTCTAGATGGCAGTTTAATAATGTAGACCTTGATTTTACAAGGTTACATTTTTCGAACTCTGCAAACTACGACGTGCAGACGCACTGTCACGTGATGTTTTCTTCTGAAAAAAAAAAAAAAAGGTAAGCTGTGCAGACAAATTCTCAAGAGAAGAGAACCAGATAACACAAATGCTGACTATCAACTGAAATGATGCACTATGGTGTAAAAGAATGTAGCTACATAACTTACTGCACATGCTTAGATATGGTAGCGGCACTTGTAAATCAAGCACACAAGTACTCCACTATGTTTTTGAAACTGTTGCTAAGCTTTTCATGCAGTTATTCTAGAATTGCAGAAAAAAAAAGAATTATTATGCATTTCGTCCTGTCTCGTTAAGTTGTGTGCACAAAACAACATGAGCTTTAGTGCACAGATTTACTGATATATTCGTAATAGGTTTTCGTCACATTGTGGTAGCAACTGCCGCTGAATGCTTCTTGAAGTCCAACATTTCATTAGGTCCAAACATGGTTGCAGAAAGCAATAATAAAAAAAAACAAGATGTGGAGGTGTTCTATACATCTATATTTTATTGCGTAGGCTGGGAAGTAGATACGGGGTTTAAGTTGTTTTTATGGCTTTCAATAAACTAGGTAAGGTACGTCCCACCGTGCAGAGAAAGTTTGAGTAGATTAAAGACAAAAGGGGGACAGACATTTGTTTTGTAAAATGCACCAACAGATTTACGTACTGCCACTATAGTGTTAGTATGAAGTTTCTTTCAGCTGTAGCTGCTTCTACTTGAGGCACACAGGCCATTGTTTTAATGAGAGATTAATGAAGCATAAAATGCCCCTATCCAAACAATAAACATCTAATCTTTGCTTGCATTGCCAAGCTTGTGAATTCACACTAAAATTTCGTTAATGCACAGTTTTATGGAGGTACAAGAATAAACAAATGCATCTAGTGGCTGAAGCTTGGCATAGCAACAGGATTGGTAGTTCATGCAAGAGCCAGCCTTTGATTGACTTGCGTAATGAAGAAATTAAATGCCTGAACAGTTCTGTCTCATGTAGGCATGCACGTCTGCCTTATTGATAGGTGGCGCTACCATGTTTGAGCCTGTGCAAATAATTGTGTCTAATTTATTTCCACCACAGTGCACCCTTTCGATTGGTAGTCGGCATTTGTGTTCTTTTTTTTTTCTTCTGTCCACATCTGTACACCTTACATTCTTTCATGATGAATCTCTACTAAGAAGTTCAACATTTTTTTGTTCTATGCTTTCTTTCTCTGTTTGTGTGTTTTTAAATGTCTCATTAGAATTATGTTTCTTTATGCTAATAAGAGAGTTTGTGAGGCCTGAGTTTTTTAAAGGCTGCGACTGATCACATCTATACATTCTCAACAGCTTTTGCGCTTACTCCTTATTATCTGAATACATTCATTAAAAGTTGGCAATCTTAACTTAATAAAAACATCACACAGGTCCTACACACTGTGTGAACTGGCTCAGCTTACGTCAGCTGGAAAGATGGAAGAGCATTTTACGTTGAGAGATGTTCACTGTATTTTGGGTATGATATGAATGTATCTTTCAACCATTCTCAAACAGTACAGCAAGCCTTGAAGAATGTGCCATAGTGTCATCACTGACCAAAGCTGCTAACATTTAGGTGCCACAAATGCATCTTCACAAAACACTAAAATCTGAGAGCTTGTGCTTGAGATGCAAGTCAGGGAAGACAGAAACAGTCCAACTCAACCATCATGCTTCTGTCTGTGTTGCATGTTTGCTCAACCACAAAATGACATCCAATGTGAAGATGCCACTATGGGCAGAGTGGCCTCTAAGGTTACCCACTATCTCTTTCTTTGACTTTTCATGTTTGTGTTTTCCATCTGCTCGTAAGCGATGCCATTCAGGTGAAGCAGAATCCTCCCAACTTCATATACATGTGACACCACCATCTTGTGCACATTGGTCTTTCGCTGAGCCAGCTAAGATGACACCATGTGCAGTGAGCACATTTTATGCTTGTGTTTTGCAGCCACCACTTGTGGTGCCAACCAAGCAATGCAAGAAAAATCTGAAGTTCACATTAAGTGATTCCACTGTTCCTTACTTGATGGGTTTTGGTCAATCAAGGAAGCTTCCACAATTTGCAATAAGTCACTTTTGGGCTGGAAGCTATGGTCATATGAATAGATATGGTCATCTATCAGCTATGGTCATCAGGATGATATGCTTCTTTTAAATTTTGCCATGGATAATATGCTTCTTTTAAATTCTGCCATCAGATATGCTCTTTTTTTTTATGTGTGTGTCGGTGTTGGGGGGGTGGGGGTGACATCTGTCTCCCAGCTATTGAGCAATCAGTTGAACCAGATAAAACCACAGGACAGTAGGCAAGGAGACTTTTGCTTCAATAATTATTTGTTCACGATATAAAAAGAACCTTCATTTTTATCATGAAAACAGTCCATGAAATTGGACTGAGCACCATTCATGTAAAGCCCTCGGGTATTTTTTTAATTCTTGAAAAAGTTCAGTTTGTAATGCTGGTACATGATGATGTTAAAGGTGCATTATTTAGGGCATGAAGGAAGTAGTTAAGATTCACTTCTTCCATCACTATCATGCAACATATCTTGATGCATGACGGGAGTGCCCTTGTGATTACAGTTTGTGGGCACCCTACAGTTTCGGATTTCTGAGAGACATGCTAGTGCTGCTGAGAGAACTCATTTAGCATGTCTTTGTTTCCTAGAACAATACAGGCCTGGAGTAGATTGAACCAGTCTGTCACATACATATCTTGTAATGACTTATTTTTTGTAGCAATAAAATAATTCTTCCTGTATCACAGTTACCCTACTGTTCACTCATGTTATTGCTAGTGATCACTACTGAATGCTTGAGTACTTGTAATTTATTAATCTTCATTATTGTTTATGTAATTATGCTTTGAATACTATTAATAAACTTCCTTTTTAAGTTAGTTATATGTATACTTGTGTACTTAGTTATATGTATACTTGTAATTTTGTAATGTTTATTAATGTTTGCACGTGTATGCTTCAATGGATCAGTATGATGCACTTTAGTGTTATATTAAAGATCTTCTTGTATATATGTATGTTCCCTTGAAGCTGCAAAGCTTGCTAGCACACCTTATGCTTTGAATTTTATTTTTCTTTGCTCCCCCCCCCCCACCATGCTGTAATGTCATGAGGCACTATGGGTACGGTATAAATAAATAAATAAATTACTTGAATAAATATGCAGGATTATCCAGGATCTTGGATTGCCCCTAAAGCGCTTCAGCAAAGTTGACTGCCTGTCAGGTGGCATGAAGCGTAAGCTGTCAGTGGCTATTGCCTTTGTTGGGGGCTCACGTGTAGTAATCTTGGATGAGCCAACGGCAGGTGTGGACCCTTACTCTCGTCGTGCCATATGGGACCTCATTCTGAAGTACAAAAAAGGTGGGTGATATTCTCTCTTGATGTTCGTATAAATATGCATTTTAATGGGAAAATATTCTAACGAGCTGTAGCTTTGCTCGCACAGTCTCCATTGCTTGGCAAACACAAAAAGCCCTGTCTTCTCTACCTTTCGCGTTGGTTACTTATGTTATAATCAGGTTCTGCCTGAAGTGTTAATAGAGACTTTATAAGCATAATGCCTCCTTTTGCATAACATTCTCATACAGGCACGTAAGTACAGGGAAGGAATGTAGGTTTTAATACTCTGTCTTATAAAATTTATGTATATTGGGCTATTTTGCAAGGCTGTCTGTCTGCTAGCTAAAAGTATGGTCATTTGTAAGAAACCACATTCACTGAGCAGTGTACGCTCATGATTTATGTTTATCCCTATCTGATTTACAGCTACAGATAAACTGTTTGTAGACTCTGTTCCTTGAACAAGTATGCAGCAAAGCAATCAGCAGTACCTGAATATCGTTGGTGCAAAGTATTTACATCATCTAGAGTACAATTCTTTTATTGAGGGGTATGCCTCCTCTCCTGGAGCTCCTGGTTTGATGCACCTGGTTTGTGATTCTTACAAATAAAGTCCAATTTAGTGCTGCCCTATATGTAGGTTCAGCCTTCTCTAGTTGGAGCACTAATTCTGCAGACAATTCTATAGCCAAGGGGGCCTTACTTGGATGCAGCCTAATGTAATTCGCCAAACTGGAGCGGTCAAGAAATGCCGAGGCGCTTATTGTATTTTGATTTTATTGCATATATGCATGAGTTCCTTCAGCTTGATGTGCACCACAACAGTTTCGACAATGCTTGGCATTACGTAGATGTCAACTGCAGTTGATTCTGCAAGTGTTTTTTTGTGTCAGAAAGCTTTGTAATTTGATTATAATGACACAGAATTCGATACATCACATGCACAGTGACTCATTAAAATTGCTTTGGGGCAGACATGTTTGTAGAATACAAGATAAAGGGGTACTGACACAAAAGTTTTGGCCTGCCGTTTTTTTGTTGCAATGTTTTACTGGGAGCACGTTAGCCATAACACTGCACATTATTTGCTGTAGTACACAACAGATAATGAAATACAGGCTCCTCATTATCGACCAGTTTCAGTTTTGGTTTGAGAGAGCTCCAAAAATGACAAACCTTCGGGTGCAACTGTCACAACCCAGCAGGTGTAGCTCTCGACTACGTCAGGGCACAGAACTGTGACACACTTCAGCATGGTCCGTCCACACCAGGAAGTTCTTTCGGACAGGAAACGAGATAACAGTGTCACCAAACACAAAACTATGAATGCATGTGCCATAGCCAAGAACTTGCGAGCAGCCACCAAGAAATATAGACTGCTGGAACAAACGTGGCAAAAGAAAAATGGCACTATGACATTATCCTAACTTGTTCTATTGACTGCAGCGTGGTGACAGGAGAGACGTGTGGGAGTCCCCATGGGGTCCCTTTTGATGGTCTCAATACCAAATGGCGAAGCCTTGTCGGTATTTATACGCACGCCATCGAACATTCTAACGTTATCGCTAGCGGCGACGTAGGTTCCAGAATAATCTGTATCGCTCAAAAAGTGGCCGTAATCTTAAAATGAAATGACCTACTACAGTCCCGAAGCTTCTCGAACAGTGCATGTGCGGTTTGTGCTGAGAATAACGTACAGTGTAACGGGGTGATACCGTATTTACTCGATTCTACCACGCCCTCGATTGTGACGCGCACCCGATTTCCACCGCGAAAAAAAAAAAAAAAGTAAGACATCCATTGCAATGCGCACCCAATTTTCTCGCTGGCCCGCACCATCACACCACTCGAAAAAACGACCGCTTTCATGAGCGTCTGCCATTTAAATATGAGGTACGGGCGAAGCTTGTGCTCATCTGACATGTAACAGAGCATTGCCGTCACTGTAGTTTTACCGTGGACCGATGTCAGCACATGAACTTGCTTCGCCCCCTTCTTCCCGACGGTTGTGGTGCCAGGCATGTTGAAGTAAAGAGGTGTCTGATCGGCATTCCCGATTTGCCCAAGCAGGTAGTAGAAGTTTAGGACGAACCTCTGAAAACTGTGAAGCTTTTCATCGTATTCCTCCGCAAAACTTTTCGCATATGCATGTTCCCCTTTGGACGGAAAAGCCTTTCCTCTTCATAAAGTTCGTTAGCCAGCACCTGCTCACTTTAAACTGGCTCCACATTAGACCTTTTTCTAAGACTAATTGCATAGCCCGCACTTGGAGCAGTTCTGTCGTCACGGGTCGCTGTGCCGCTCGCTGCTCAAGCACATACTCGCCGAGCAGCTTTTTAATTTGCGGAAACCGGCCCTGCTGTGGTCCACTGAAGCCTTTGCGTGAAGCTTTGCTGTCGACAATCTTTTGCTTTTGTTTCCGCCGGTCCCGCATGCACGTTTCGGGAACTCCGAACGACCGTGATGGGGCCCAATTTCCGTCCGTTTCTGCACACGCGATGACTTTTCTTTTAAAAGCGGCATCGTGGTGCACTCGAGTTTTTGGAGTCAGCCCTTCCACGCCGTCGATGCTAATGCACTACTAGATGACGAACTCCTCAGCACACGTACGAAGTGCCGCACATGGGAAACACATAGGCAGAAATGGCCGATGCCCCATGCCGACGCACGTAGGAGGCGGCCATTTTGGATTTGCCGATGGCAATAGATTGACCGTAATTTTTTTGTTCGTACTCGATTCTAACGCGCATGCGATTTATGAACTCGCTTAACCGGAAAAAAGGTGCGCGTTAGATTCGAGTAATTACGGTAACAAAACTTGTGGAAGGGACGTGGCATTGCCCCCTTCTAAAATAGGCATCATCCCGATGCTTTAACAGAAAATGAAAGTAAAATAATAGTGCAGGAAATTATCACCAATAAGTTACGATACAGAAATTTAACAACGCGATACAATCTTTCAGTGCATTAACGTGCATGAACTGACTTGAGGCACGCGACATGGACGACTTTAGGTCGCGATCGGCGCTGCTGAGAGTTTGTGATGCCATCGGGGACAACCTCCTAGTCTAGTGGCCCGAGGCATTGTACTGCCCTGTATGATCTGAAGTATCGTCGCAGAAGTTTTTCACCGAGTCCACGTCGATGTATTGGCATCCATACTCAAACATGTTCACCGGGCTGGTATTCCACGAAGCATCGTCGAAGATTTTACTGGGGGCGGTCAGTCGTCTTTGCTGATTTGTGATGCGCAGGCAGGAAAGTTGCCGAGCTTCTTAAGCGGGCTGAAGATAGAGGGTGACGTCGAGGTTTTTTTCGTCAGCAACGTTGGGAAACATTGTGTCGAGCGTCGTTGCCGGGTTCCTTCCGTAGACCGACTTTTACAACAGCATCCGCGTCGTCTCCTGCACAGCCGTGTTGTATGCGATGGTCACATATGGAAGGATGGCGTCCCACGTCCTGTGTTCGGCATCGACCTACATAAGGAAACCTAGCAGTCATACCTGCTCATGTGGAGAATTTCAAAAAGATGTGAAGCGCATTCTTCTACATTGTAAAAAATTATGACGTGCCTCGAAAGAAACTTTAACAAAGACTAGCTTGTTTGGAGAAGCAACCTCCATCAATTGCAAAAATCTTGGGTCCACGGCCAAAGAAAAGCTACAAACTACTGCAGCGCGTGCAATCGTTCAATTTCTGAAGGAATCTGAAATAACTCAAAAGTACGAAACAAAAAAAACTGTATTATTGTCACTGTTAACCGGTATGTTTCAAAACAATATTTTCGTTTTTCACAACGATATCTTTGGGAAAACCTTTCTGAAAACAGTTCAGTACTGAAGCGACAAGATCACCTTAGACATTTTACTGAACTTTCATGTTTTGTGTGAACACCTAAATTGGCGTGATTACTTGTGTTTTTACAAACTCTGTGTGGTGTGGACACATTTCTATGCAGTGTGGACACATTTCTGTGTGGTGTGGACACTTATTATTGAAAAACGTGGACTCGTTGCATAAGCAAGTGCTATGTACATATGTATAGCCTTGTGTTTGCTACAAAATATGCAATGTCGATTTTTGTGCAAGAGGAGTAGCAGGCACCACCCATTGGCACCAATCACTCTTCGTATACATTTAATAAAAAAAATAGCCAGCATGTTGGCGATTGTCTTGTTTAGCCGCTCGATGAGACAATTTGTCTGTGTGTGGTAGGCGGTAGTGCGGCAATGGCTTGCCTGGCTATGTCTCAAGATCACCTGAGTCAAATCAACAGTAAAGGCCGTACCTCTATTTGTGATGAGAACCTCTGGGGTGCCATGACAAAGAGAATGTTCTCAACGAAGAACTTGGCTACCTCTTTGGCACTATCTTATTGGAGGACCTTTGTTTCAGTGTAGCGGGTTAGGTAATCAGTAGCTACGATGATTCATTTGTTTCCGGTATTGGACGTCGGAAACTGCCCCAGTAGGTCCATCCCAATTTGTTCGAACAGTCGGCGAGGTGGTTCAATCGGCCGGAAAAAGCCTGTTAGCCTTGTCAGCGGTGTCTTGTGTTGCTGACAGTTTTGGCAGGTGTTTACATAGGGGGTTACATTGGCAGTGAGGCGGGGCCAGTAGTACTTTTCTTGTATCTTCGCCAGCGCACGAAAAACCCAAGGTGTCCAGCCGTCGGGTCATCATGCAGAGCCTCCAGAACTTCTGGACGTAACGCCAAAGGTACTACTACTATGAGGTAGTTGGCTCGATGTGGCGAGAACTTTTTTTTACAAGAATGCCGTTCACAAGGAGAATGATGACCGTCCTCGCTTGAATGCCTTTGAAACGGCATAAGCTTTGCCCTCGAGGTATTCCACTGGGCCCTTGATTTCAGGGTCGGCTCTCTGTTGTTTGGCGAAGTCATTGATGCTTAAGGTTCCTAAGAAGTAGCCAATGTCGTCATTCTGTGGTGGTGGGTCAAAGGGGGTACGGGAGAGGCAGTCGGCGTCAAAGTGCTTTAGTCTGGAGTTAAGTAATGTCGAA